GCCTTAAACCCTAAACCCTAAACCCTAAATCCTAGCGGCAGTCCTATTTTTTGGTTTTTCTAGATTTTTGTTTCTTTTTTCATTCTTTGAAGTCCATTGGGGACTCTTGCAGACGTTTGAGTTGATTTGCTGCTTCTCTGCGGGTTTACTTGCTGCTGCTGCTGCTGCTGCTGCTGCAACTTTGCTGCTGCTGCGCAGGCAACTTCGGGGGGCCCCCCTCCTCCCCCGCATGCATTGAGGGGGCCCCCCTGCCCTCGGGGGCCCCCAACAAAACCCTCGACTTTTTGACCCCCCCCAACTTGGCTCTTTTGTACCGCCTTTCGGGGGACTTAAACCCTCTCCACGTAATTCTCACTTTCTTTAGTTCTCTTTTTCTCTTTTTAAATAAAACCTTTTTGTTTCTCATTTCAAGTCCACTTAAGAGATAAACTCCTTCTGTTGGGGGCTCCCAGGGTTTTGGGGGCCCCCGGGGGCCCCACACTGTAGAGGCACTCAAAGCTTAAGGGCCCCCGGGGGCCCCAAGACCCTAGGGGGCCTCAGGGGGCCCCCCGGGGCCCCAGGGGCCCCAGTGGCCCCCAGAGGCCCCAGGGGCCCCAGGGGCCCCCAGGGTCCTTGAGCTTAAGGGGCTTTTGGGGGCCCCTAAGGCCTCGCGGGGTCCATAAGGGGGGCCCCTGAATGCTGAGGGGCCCCGCAGCAACCTCTGGGTACCCCTAATGCAGCCGTGGGGGCCCCCAAAGGGGCACATGGGCCTTCGGGGGCCCCCTGGGGGCCCCCAGGCTGAACTGGAGGCCCAAAGTGTTTGGGGCTTTGCATGCGTTTAGGCAGATGTGAGCCTCGCGCAGCTCGGGGGTTTCTCGCGGCCAATTCTTCACGGGCTTTGCACGCTGGGTATTGCTACGAGGCGTAAGCCCTGCTGCTGCTGCTGCTGCTGCTGCTGCTGCTGCTGGAGTTCAAGTTGGGGACGTTGCTCTTGCTGTTTCCCTTGGTGCTGCTGCTGCTGCTGCTGTAAAGGTGCACACGGGGCGGGTAATGTTTCTGCTGCTGTCAACGGGGCTGCTGTTGCGCCCAGTGCTGCTGTAGCAGCAGTAGCTGCTGCTGTAGCAGCAGCAGCTGCTGCTGCTATTGCTGTGCTGCTTCTGTGTTATTGAGCTCTGCACTATCTGCCCCGCGCTGTGTGGCTGGAGTCTTCAGCACGGGCAATTCAGGGTTCCAGTTAGGGTTTAGGGTTTAGGGTTTAGGTTTTAGGATCTGGGGTTTAAGGCCTAGGGTTTACGGCTAAAAGTGCTGCTGCCTGTCACCCCGCAAACCCCCAATCTAACCACAAACAGCAGCAGAAGAAGAAGCCCCATTGCGTCTGCCTCTGTGCCGTTGCTGCTGCTGCTGCTGCTGCCTCTGCCATGCTGCTGCTGCTGCTGCTGCTGCCTCTGCCATGCTGCTGCTGCTGCTGCTGCCGCTGCTGCTGCTGCTGCTGCTGCTGCTGCAGTGATAATAAAGGAAGTGCTGGGGGGCGATCCGGATCGTGTGGGGAGCGTGAGCTGTCGGTTCACGAGCCCGACGATCCCAGGGGATCGTCTTCGGGTGTATGTGTGGGGTCCCCACAAGTCTTTGGTTTTTTTTCGAGTTTTGAACTTTTCCAACAAAGACAAAGTAATCCTCGACAAAGGCCTTTTGGAGCTCAAGCAAGACGCAGCAGCACACGCCAAGCTCTGATCCAGCAGCAGCAGCAGCGGCAGCAGCAGCGGCGGCGGCGGCAGCAGCAGCAGCAGCAGCGGCAGCAGCAGCGGCAGCTGCTGCGCCACTGCTGCTAAAGCAAGAGTGACTGAAGCGGCAGGGACGGCAGGCAGCAGCAGGAGCAGGGGCAGCAGCAGCAGCGGCGAACGGAGCAGCAGCAGCAGCAGCAGCTGCTGCTGCTGCTGCTGCTGTTGTTGCTGCAGCTTCTGCTTTTGCTGCTATCATGCGGCTGCAGCGAAAGCCAGCTGCTGTCCCCTCTAAAGGGGCTTCTGCCTCTAGACCTTAAAAGATTTAGAGGAGCACTTTTTGCTGCTGCTGCAGCTGCTGCTGCAGCAGCAGCAAATGAGAGTTTCTAGGCTGCACCAGCGACAATAGAGAGAGACACAGACACGGAGACTCAGCCCCTAACCCTAAACCCTAAACCCTAAACCCTAGAACTGAAACCCTAAACCCTGCGCCTAAGGCAGAACAAGACTTCGAAGCAGCCCCCGCAGGCAAGGCAGGAGACACAGAGAAAAAGGACAGGATACAAACAAAATGGAAGCAGCAGCAGCAGCGAGAAGGACGCAGCAGCAGCAGCGAGGAAGACGCAGCAGCAGCAGCTGCTGCAGCGCCACTACAGCAGCAGCTGTAGCAGCTGCAGCAGCTTCAGCAGCGCAACTGCAGCAGCAGCTACAGCAGCGCAACTGCAGCAGCAGCTGCAGCAGCGCAACTGCAGCAGCAGCTGCAGCAGCTGCAGCAGCGCAACTGCAGCAGCAGCTGCAGCAGCTGCAGCAGCGCAACTGCAGCAGCAGCTGCAGCAGCTGCAGCAGCGCAACTGCAGCAGCAGCTGCAGCAGCTGCAGCAGCGCAACTGCAGCAGCAGCTGCAGCAGCTGCAGCAGCGCAACTGCAGCAGCAGCT